ATATATATATATATATATATATATATATATATATATATATATATATATATATATATATATATATATATATATATAGTATAAATATAAACATAAATATAATGGAAATATAGATATGAATATGTATACATACACACACACAGAGACACATACACAGATACCGACACAGTCACACATATATGTCTTTAATTTTGTATAAATATTGTAACGCAGAAATATAGATACATAGTATTATACAGCAATCTATGCACACATCCGTGGCTGCTTGCTCTAATATACGCTCTCACTTCTCAGATCTCAGTTGTTGCACATCTGCGTCTCGACTACTATAGAAGATACATCGAAACAAAACCAAATCACCGACGTGATTTCTGGTAGAAAGCATTTATGAGCGAAATCGAAATAGCCGGGACTATTTTAGTGGCCAACTGTCCGTATATCGTTTTTCAATCATTTCCAGTGCAAAAATACGAAAGAAATGAAGGAATTTTTTAAAATTTGGACCCACTTTTGGCAAAATGTATAAATCAAAAAGTTGTTCTAAGTTTAGAGCAAATTGTATTGGACAGCATCTGATATTGATTTGAATTTTCTAAATAAGGCAAATAATCACACAATAGTCAACACAGAGAAGGAGAAAACAACACGCAAGTCTTACTCCGGCAGGGGTGGGCACAGAAATAAAAGTTAATTGATCAACAACAAACACGTTAGTATTTCACATTACATCACACTCATAGCAACAAACTAAACTTCATCATGACTTACACCCTAGTGCTTATGCGCCACGGCGAATCCCAGTGGAACGTCGAGAACAAGTTCACAGGATGGGTTGATGTTCCCCTAACTGAGAAGGGTATCGCTGAGGCCACTGAGGCTGGCCAGAATCTGGCTGCTTCTGGTTATGAGTTTGACTGCGCTTTCACTTCGTTCCAGAAGCGTGCGATCAAGACTTGTTTCATCACACTAGAGGCCACCGACTCGCTGTTTGTTCCCGTGCAGAAGTCATGGAAGCTAAACGAGCGTATGTACGGTAACCTACAGGGTATGAACAAGGGAGAGAGTGTAGAGACCTATGGAGCCGACAAGGTACTTATCTGGCGCCGATCATTCGACGTACCTCCCCCAAATATGGAAGACCCCAACCATCCCTACAACCCAGCTAAGGAGCGCAAGTACGCCAGCATCCCCAAGGAGGAGCTACCCACAACCGAGTGCTTGAAGGATTGCATTGAGCGTGTTGTACCTTACTGGGAGAATGATATCGTCCCAGCTATCAAGTCTGGCAAGCGTGTGCTCATTGCGGCTCACGGAAACTCTCTACGGGGTTTGGTCAAGTACTTGGATGATATCTCGGAGGATGACATTCTTAAGCTTAATATCCCCACTGGAGTTGCCCTGGTGTACACTCTAGACGAGAACATGAAGCCAATCACTGCTGAGGGACAACCCTACGCACCTCTTAAGGGTTCATATCTAGGTGATGTTGCCGATATTCAAGGCAGGATCAATGGAGTTGCTAATCAAACCGCTAAGAAATAGATTCTTAATTCAGAAAAATAAATGTGTACTAAACTTGAAAAACAAAGGGCAAAGTTTAAAAAATCCCCTTTCTGTTTATGTGCATTGATGAACTAAAGTGAAACACAGCACAGCTATTCACATTGGTTCTAGTCAGAATGAGGTGTACAGGATTCTGTGTATTTAAGTAAATTAAGTTTGGGGTAAGCACTCCAAAGACACAATAGTGGGACAGAATTCGCGCTACAGGTTTGCCCATTGTTTTAGGCGGATGGCTCAGCAGGTACACATTTCAGAGTGGGGGGATACGTGAAGCTGTCAGCGATGATGTGTGTGCCGACTCGAGTAAAATATAAATGCACTGCGGCTTGCGTCGTGCGAGGCTAGATCGTGCACGAATTTTAAAAAATGCGCAACTTCAGCAGTCGACGCTAAGGACGCACCTATTTTTTTTTACAAATCACTTTTACATGTATAATTAAGCAAGTGATTCCAATTATTCTAATTGCACCGCCATAGCAACAATGAACAACGACGTCACAACAACAGTCGCTCGTAACCGCCTTCACAAGCAAATATGCATTAGAATGTATGAGCTCAAAGTTTTTTTTATGGTAGCAGTCTGTTGAATCATCAGAGGTAGCCGTTCAGAATTCGATTTGAAACGTAGTGATTGAACTATAAAAGAATAGAAACAGTAGGAAAATGGAAGCGGGCGACCAAGTACGGCAATCCATTCTTTTTCTACCGTCGATTGGTAAAAACTATATTGTATGTAATATATTTCTACACTTGAAACTAAAAGTATTTACCATTCATTTTTAAACTCCGTGCCAGTGAAGCAGCAAAAAAAAATAGTGTGATATTTCAGTCGATATCTCTCGTACTCTTTCCGGCATTCTGCAAATCGTGTACGACCTACAAGAGCGTAAGAAGGAACCAGCAACTCGAGTACAGACAACCTTACACAAAATACCGCAGTAGTTCTTTACAAAACCATGTTTATTGTCATCGTGGGCAACATCTTTTCATGGTCTTAATAGTGTTCACAGTTTTCAAGCACACAGGTTGTAGCAGTATCTCTATACTACAGAATAAAAGGTAAATGACGTTGCGTAAACTGATAAATTTACACACATATTTAAGGGGACTACATAAGTATGACGCGTCTCTCTCTCTAGTCCTCTCGAGTCTCCGAGTCTGGGCTCTGGAGGCTGGGGCGGCCTGGGCCGGGGGCCTGGGAGCTGGGGCTCCAGGTTCTGGAGTCTGTTTTACATTGTAAATATACTAGAAATGATAAAATGTATCTAATTCGTCTATAGAATTTTCATAGTTATTATAATTCGTCAAAAAAGTTCTTATAGCAGTTATAATTCGTTATGTTTATATGAAAATTGATTTTAATTCGTCAATGATATGCTCGGCGAACTTTTTTGGCGCGGTTTGATTGTGATCGCGTTTCCACCACATATCGCCTATCGGTCATTTCCACAGTTTGCTTCAGATATTCATTTTAGTAGTAAATAAATATATAGCTATTTACTACACCTCCAGGCTCCAACTGCAGTGTAAAGTAAGAGGGGTACACAATAGCGACTATAGATACAAGTGTAAGCATATATAGACATACATACATAGACCAAGACGTACATATAACATGCCGCCCAAGAAGAAGGCTGCGGCCGTGGTGGTCAGTAGTGATAGCGAGGTTGAGATTGTGCCGAAAAAGAAGATTTCAGCAAAAGCTAAGGCTAAACCAGTCGGTGCTAACCCGTTTGCGGTAATCACGGATTGAGTTCTATTTCCAACTTTGGTTTGTTGAATGATTCTAGTACGATAGATGTGATGATTCTAAGTGCAATTTGCCGTAACATGATCATGCTAGCTACCACTATATCATGTAACTCTTATTCATATGAACTGATCCAGGATAGTGAGAGATGTGATGATTCTAGATGAACTTTGCCGTAACATGATCATGCTAGCTACCACTCTATATCATGTAACTCTTTCAATTCATATGAACTGATCCAGGATAGTGAGAGATGTGATGATTCTAGACGAATTTACCGTAACATGATCATGCTAGCTACCACTCTATATCATGTAACTCTTTCAATTCATATGAACTGATCCTGAATAGCGATTTTGGCGGACGCTCTCCGACTTCGATTCTAGAATAGGACACACACCTGAGTGGTGTAGTAGAAAGTCTTATCCTGGAAGTTGTACTGTATAGTCATCGTGATATGGACTCAGTAGTATGTTGGTTTGGTTATTGCATAGATCAATTAAAAAACACATGCTCCCACTTGCACTCCTGATCAGCTTCGTCGTTGGCAGGCCTTCACGCAACATCCCGCAATTAGATAAGGAGAATACTCATGCTGGCATCATATTCATAGTTATTCGAAGCACTGTGTGTGTTCTTGGAATATAATTCCCTTTGTGTTGATATCTAGTCAGTTTTATTATCTGACAGTGTGCTGCGAATTCATCGCATTGCTGCGTGTCTTAATAAGCGATCCTTATATGTGCTTCCACCTTTATAAAAGCAACTTGTTCGTTGGTCATAGTAGACCGTTGTACCATTTTGTTTTCGTACATATGTGTGAAGTTACGACTGTTGTGAACGTCATAACGGTACAAGCCAATTGATACACTTAAAATGAGGTTGATTTTTTCTCATCCTGCACGTACAGGAAACAAACCACATTTCCCTAAAGTGTTTGTATTGGGGGACTAAATACGTGTGCAGCTGTAGACATTCTTATCGACGGGGGAGTTCTAACAAGTTGTTGCGCTTACGGAAGAAGTACAGTAGTTTCCATCAACCTTGAAATCTCGCTATCACATTGATTGTCTGCTTTCTCCTGAACTCCTGAAACTGAGGCTTGCTGTGACAATGTAATATCGTCTGAGATGATGTTAGTATACTTCTCAATAGGCCATCTGCTCAGTGTAAAACCCTTTGTGGTTATTCTCGCGAGTCTACACATCACCTCGGTTGCCGCAGGACTGTATCTCTCCTTGGCAATACTTACAGTAACTAAACCTTTAGAAGAATCATTGTTATCGGTTAAATTAAACCCTCTCATACGGCTTTGGCCACACTGTGCCCCACCCAACAGATTGCGGTGGGCAAGAAAAAAGCGAACAATCCATTCACCGCCGCCGCCAGTGCAACCAGCAAAGCTTCAGCAACCAAGAAACCAACTAAAACAAAGAAGGCAGAGGCACTCAGGGTAGAGAGCGACGACGACGATACCTACAAACCCTCACCAGTCAAGCTCAACCGCAAGAAACGCTCAGACGATGCTTCGGCGTTCTTCAGTGACAACAGCGACAGCGACTTCGACCCTGGCACGGAGAAGGCTGAGAGCAGTGAGGAGGAGGCGGCACCAATGTGAGTGGTTGTGGATGAAGTTATGCGTACATGCCAGTGCATGCTTTGTTTGAGCTAAAATATTGGCAGTAACTCTCTCTCTCTCTCTATCTGTGTGTGTGTGTGTCTATAG